AAGAAGAAGAAGAAAAAAAATAAAAAAAAGAAACGGCAAAGAAAAAGAAAAAAAAAGAAAGAAAATGATTATATATTGTTCCGATATATTGAGCATTAAATTTGCTATTATTTTACTACAATCATATCTTTCATTATGCGATCATTTATTAGGAATTTAATAAAATACAAATGTTGTGAAAAAATCGACGATAAATATTCATGGCTGATCCAGATTCGCCTTCAAATCATATGTCTGCAGTTGATGATGTACAACAAACATCATCAATTCAACAAGAATCAACAGCTAATGATTGGCCATGGTAAATAATAGTTTTTGTGTAACAAAAAATAAATTAATTGAAGAAATCGTTTTTTTTTCAGGTCAACGGATGATCAACAGCAACAAAATGCAATAGATTCTAGTGGTTTAATGCATTTAATTGCCACAGGTGGTGGTACAACTGTTGATGATAATAATCCGAATGATGAATCTGTTGGTGTTATACAAACAAATGAACAAACAAATGATGAACAAGCAGTAACATCACATGAAGAACCAATTGATGAAGGAATATCTGAAGATGAACAATCACAATTACCTCTTGTTACTGTACCTTCGTCATCTTCTGTACCAATGGATACAGATCCTCAAATAACACCAGCAGATATTGATCAACCTCAGCCGCAACAACAACAGCAACAACAATCACAACCAGTTAAAACTCAACATGATATAGCTGAAATTCATCGTGATATGTTAACACTTATACCTATTCCACAAGCATGGTCACATATACGACATCAATCAGGTCTTTTTTCCTATCCTGATTTACCACATTTTAATGTTATACGTCAAGCAACATTTCGTGATGGACGTTTTGTTTGTCCATTTTGTACAGTTGATTTTGCTTCAAAAGAAGGCATACGTTATCATTTATTTAATTCATGTACAAAATCTCCCTATCCAAAAGCTTTTTTTCGTTGTTTAATGTGTGGAAGTGAATTAGCTGATCGTAGTTCATTACGTACACATTTAGCTCGACATGTAAGTTAATACATATAGATTTTGACAAACAAAAAATTTAATTTTCACTTTTCTTTTTCTTTATTTAAAGGGTACAGAAGATGGTAGTACAATATCAGCAGATAAAATTGATGTATCACGTAAACCAGCTGTTTCTACACCTGGTGGAACGCCAAATTCAAAAAAATCGAAGAAAAAAAAGAAAAATACAAATGATTTAACACCACCACAAATGATTAATCCAATGATTGCTATGACATCGAGTGTATCACCACATGGTATTGATACTTATAATATTCCGCCAACAATGATTAATCAACATATGTCATTACCAATAATAAAATCTGAACAAAATGATAATGATCCAAAAGTACGTTTAAATTTTATAATCTTTTTTTGCATTTTATGAAATAATATTATTCTTTAAAGCGTAAACGTGGTCGTCCACCAAAAACAAAATCATCCGATGGACCAACACCAATAGCAAGTTATACAAAACATCCAGTTGTTAATCCTACTGGTCTATCATTAACTACAACAATGAATAATCCAGTTATTATTAATGATCAACTTATGAAAGTAATATATATGTTTTTTTTCATCGTATGAATTAGTCATGCATTTGCAAATTAATATTTATGAGATGTAGAACAATTATTGTTATAGTTATCAAGCAACATAGATGATTTTTTTCTTATTAAAATATTCGAAATTTATTTATTTTCTCTATTAGAATGATCCACTTAAAACTACTGCGATGCGATCACCACGTGGAGTTGATATCAGCAGTGAATTAGCTGAATTAGCTCGTTCAAGAATGAGAGAAGTATGAAAATTTTCGTTTTTTAATTTTTCCTATTAATTATTTATTTATTTATTATTTTCAAAGCATATTGAATTTGCAACTGATTCTTTACTACCTGAACAAGAACAAGAAATCAACGCACGTTTACGTACAGAAGGTTTTATTAATTGTCATCGATGTCGAGGAAAAACACAATTTACAGCATTAAAAAAATTAAAAGAACATTTGAAAACTGATTGTCCATTAGGACCTGGTAAAAGCAAAAGAAAATTCTTTTGAAATATTCTAAATAGTATATTTATATTTAGTTATGGCTATATGTAAATTTTGTGGTATTCCATTTTCGTCTGTTAGTAGTGTTTGTGATCATCTTGAACTTTATCATGATGATTCACATGATGTATGTCCAGGTAAGAATGAATTATTTTTTTTAACCATAAAATAAAATAAATATTCATTAGATGATCCATGTCGTGTTAATGATCGAGCATTTCGTGCTGCTTTTGCTCGTTATAAATTTCCAATTAATGGTCGTATACCATTTTCAGCACCATCAACAACAATTGGACAACTTGTACCTGAAAATGAATCAGCTGCATGTTTAAGTAATGGTGCTAGTTGTTTACGTGTTCGAGTAAATAAATAAAATCTAAAAGAATTTCTGTTTTTTTTAATTTTCATTACAAAATATTTATAGATGCTTTCATGCGATCGATTTCTCAATCCATTAGATAGTTTTGCTGCTTCACATGTTATTGTTTTAAATGTTGGCCGTCCTATACGTTGTATTGAATGGTTACCACGTGCTGTTGATGTTATCGGTAGTCAATATGTTGCCTTAGCACTTGAACAATGGTCTTATGATGCTAACAATCAATTACATCCGAATTATGCAAATGCTGAACGTCGTTCACCACCAGGTTCAACATTACTTTTAATACTTAATTGTGGACGTTTAAGACAAAGTTTACATGTGCCGAATTTACATGTTACTGTTGCAGCAGATTTTGGTCAAGTTACATGTTTAAAATGGTTACCTGATCGTCCAACAATAAATGATCCGTATTTAAGTTATTTAGCTATTGGTACAAGTCAAGGAATTGTATTAATATTTGGTGTTCCACACGGTGCATCGAGAAATTTATGTACAATAAGTAGTGGTGCACAACTTGTTCCTCCACTTAATCGACGTAAAGATGGTAGTATTGGTTGTGCAGAATATGGTTCATGTACAGCACTTGATTGGTGTCATGAAAATCCAAATAAATTATGTGCGGGATATGAAAATGGTATTGTACTTATGTGGGAAGTTAATTCGAAATCACTCGTTGAACAAGTAATTTATTTTTTCATTATTAAAGATAAAGAAAAACTAATTTTGCTTTTAGACAACAAATTGTTCATTAATTTATCCTGTACGACGATTTTTTGTTGAAGACACACCAATACAAGATGTAAAATTTTTAAGAAATTCTGAACATTTAATTGCAATTAGTTTAAAAAATAAACAATCTTGGACGTATGTTCTTCTTTCTTAATGAAAAAATAAAAAAATGACTTTTTTTTATTCAGAGTATGGACAACTCGAGATGAAAATATTTTTTGTTATCGTCATTGGTCAAATTCAAGTGAATTTGCATCATCAGTACTTAATGATACATTATATGCTGGTTGTGCACATGCAAAGTAAATATAATAAATTTTCATAATCATATAATTGAATATTGTTTTATTTAGTAATCAAAATGAATTACTTTCGGTGCCTATACATTCAATATTATTACCGGGTCAAAATGTTCCTAATCAGTTACAAACATCGATGTTATCAGCGTGGCAAATTGTGAGTTTAGATTATTCTGAATGGATTGATGCTGTTGGTTATGCTGATCTTGATGGTAAAGATTTGAATATTATTTTGAATAGTTGAAAATTTCGAAAATTTTAGGAACGGTTTGGGTTGCACGTGGAGATTCATCAACTTGGGCTCAAAATAATCCGAAATTTCGACCGAGTACAGTAAGAAAACAAAAAATTCGATTTATTAGCTTGATAAAATTTTTAAATGAATTTTAGTGTGTGGCGAAATTATCAACTTATTTAACAGGTGCAACTGGTGCACAAGCTGGAAATCTAACAGATCCTGTTACTATGCAACGTAAAAATATCTAAATATACATTCATCATTATTATTTTATTTATTTTAGAATACAATCAAGGTCCAACAGGACAATATTGTGTTCAAATTGCTATTGAACGAACGGTAATTATTAATAAACTTTCGAAAGATTGCGTTAGACAGCATTTTATATAAACACTCTCGATCTCAAAAGTACTGCTAATGATAGATATAAGTGTATGAATAGAAAAGTGAGAATAAAAGCATCAATAAAATATATGCGTCTTTTATCTAAATATACACTTATGAATGAAATCATATTTTATTTCAGATGACATACAAATACTATCAATAGAGTAATCGAGAAGCGCAATAGATGCCTTTTTTTGATAATGTCAAATTGAACATTGATTCTTCCTTGAAAGATTTGAATATGTATAAAAAAACGTGTAGATAGATTAGATCTTTTAAGCCATTAATCCCTATAACGAGTTATACAATATATGATCTGAATTTTAGTTACATATGATATTTCAAAAAAAATAACTCCGACATATTTACTCAAGACATGATCTGATAACTGAAATTTTTCGAATTGTTATGTAATACTATTTATAAATTTTGTCTTTATTAGGAATATGCAAGTAATAATGTTGATCCCCAACATGATGAAACTCATAAAGTGCATACATATCGCAAAGTAAAAATAAATTCTAAGAAAAAGAAAAAACAAAAATAAAAATGTAAATAATTTTCATAGATTCGATTTAATCCAAATCCAGGTACACATGGTTGGATAGCATCAGCTGACAAAGTCGGTTTATTTTTATTATTTCGATTATCAACATCAGATTCAACATTATCAGAAAAATTAACTCAACGTCTTCAACGTGTGCAAGTTTTGTGATTAATTCCTATTTCAATAATCTATTTATTGATTAAAATAAAGAATAGAATGCATTATATTAAAATAAATATACACAAAAATTAAAACCCCTTTATATATACATGTATATATATAAACTAGAAAAAAAAAGGAAGGACACATATTGTGTTACTTTATTTGTTTTTTTTTTTGTTCTTTAAAATATAAAATTGTCAGTTGAAATCGATAGTTTAATTTTGCTAAACATATCGATAAGACATAAAAAATAGATTATTTTGTATATGTCACTTTTTTTTTGTTTCTTTCTTTCTCATTCGTACGTACATATTGTATTCTCAACTTGCTCGGTGTTGTATTCGTTTTCTGTTTTCTTTTGTCTTCGACGTCGAATGCAGTGATTTCCTTCTTTTTCTTGTTTGAAAAAAAAAATCTATATCCTATTCTGTATATAACGTTCTTTAATACATATACGTCAATTTTTTGCTAAGAAAGCAATAAGTTGTTTTTGATCAAAAAATTTATCTGAACATTGCATATATATTGATCTTTTTTTTTTCATATATACGTATATTAATTAATTGTTCTCTTTATCTGTAATTTTTTAAAAAGAGAACAGATTTTAGTAGATATTCTCTAGAAGAATAATAATAGATATGAAGAAAGAAGAACATATCTTAATTTGATGTTATTACTTGAAATTGTCTATTCTTCTCTCTTTCTCACGTTTTTTCTTTTTTTTTGTATAATTTTTGTTTTGGATTTCTCTCGTTGTCTCCTTTGCGTATCTATATTATTTGTTTATCGACATGAAGAAGAAGAAAGAAAAAGAAAATAATAACGAAGATTGATAAAATACTTTTGTTTGTTACGTATGACATCGCATTTGTCTGAGTACTTTGTCTGACAAATGACATATTGCTCAAGGTTGTTTTACTTCCACGAGATAGATTAGTTCTTTCAACATAAGTTAAAAGCATTTACTTATACTCAAATATCCTCAAGTCATTGATCTGTTTTTTGTGTCGTTATATAACTAAACATAATTAGTTGCAATGAAAAAAAATGTTACATGTGATATAAATTAATCTAGATATCATTAAATAGTAATTTTAATCTCATGTGAAAAGTCGTTTTTTTCGATTTCTATCGTCTGTTTAATATCAAAACTATCCCATGTGAATAAAGATATAAATATCTTTTTTATGTAAATCAGCAGAGAATCTTTTTACGATCACTAATTATCTATATTTATACCGAAATGAATTGCTCAGGTCATAGTTAAGAGTGAACTAAGCGTAGGGAATTAACTATATTGATGTATTTTAAAATATTTATCGTGAAGGAATTTTTCTAAATGACTAAAAACAGTATGTTATATATTCTCCTATCACTTATGAAATAAAATAAATAAAAAAAATTTTTGTTTCTTATTATTATAAATCAATATGCATATTATGATGAATTCAATCACTTGATATTTTTTTTATAAATTCAATAGATTATTCCGATCAAACAATTTCTATGGGATAAATCTCCTTGAAATTTTCTTCTTTTTTTTTACAATAATAAACTTAACCTTGTTATCAATGTAAATTTAAAGTATTGAAATAAAAAAAAAGAAGGCACAAAATGACACAATTGTTCTATTATGTTGTCTTCAAGGTTTACGCCTTCACTTTCACTCTCACATTATACAAAAGAAGACACGAAAGAAAAAAAAGAAGAAGAACGAAAGTCGACCTTTGAACACACACACACAAATAAATATTTTTATAGCAGCAATATATATCGATTTTCTTTTTGTACAATCTGAATGAGAAAAATGAGCACACAAAAACTGTTATTGAAAAAAGAAAAGACGAAGAGATCAATTATAAGACGCGTGTAATATAATTAGATGTACACAAAAAAAGAAGAAGATGAAAAAAAACGAACAAACATCTACTACTGTTGTTGTCTTTTGTGAAAAAAAAGCATATATCACAGAAAACTGAGAGAAGAAATAAAAAGAAAAAAACAAAAAGAAAGATTTTTTTTCTTACTAATCATATACTTTTAATGAAACTAAATTATTGTTATCATCTAGCAAATGATTTTTATCTGGATTATATTTGGTTGGTAATTCAAATGAAGTTAAAAATGAATGTCGATTATTATTATTAGTACTAGTAGTAGCATGATTAATACTATCTTCAATATGACAAGACGGATTAGAAGTTAGAGTATTTAATAGCTGTGCTGTATGTGAAGATGAACAATCTTCTTGATCTCTTAATGGACTCATTCGTCGAATAGGTGCTGGAGCAAATTTAATTGTTGAAGTAGTAAAAACAGTTGGTGCAACAGATTTTTTTGGTGGTGTATATTTATATGTTCCTCTAGATTTAAAATCATTTAATGCTGAATCTAAATCCGTTGAAAAACGATGACGTGATGAATTCGATGATGCAGGTAAAGTATATCGTTGTGTATGAAATCGATCAGTACTTCCAGAAGTTGTTGTTGTCGTTGGTGTTGGTGGTGTTGTTGTCGTTGATGTTGGTGAAATTGCTCGTCGTGAATGTCGTATATTAATTGATTGTAATGTTGATGCATCATCATTTGAAAATTGATCATCAAATGTTAAACTTACTGGTCGTCGATTTGGTGGACGTGTTAATGAAGATGAATTTATTTTTGTATCATTATTATTATTATTGGATGAAAGATAACGTGTAGGTATAGGTATAGCTGAAACTCGATTACGTCGTTGTTGTTCTTTATTTCCTGTTGTTTTATCACGTAATCGAGCTGTATCAAAAAAAGAACTTGTATGAAGTTCAAGTTCAACAAGTGAATTTGTTGGTGATAAAGTTTTTTCAACTATTGGCATTGAACGTAAACGAATTTTATCATAATCATTTGTTATTTGTTGATCAGTTATTGGAAGTGATAATGATGTTGTTGTTGAATTTAATCGTACAGAAAGAACAGGTCCATGTACTAACCAATCATGACGAAGAATATCTTTTGTTGTAGCACGTGTATTAGCATCTGGCTTCAAGCAATATTGTATAAGTGAAAATGCACCTATGATATTAATGAAATAAAATAGAAAAAAACAAAGTTAAATATAAGCAATCCATCACCAAATAAATTTTTTTTTGTGTTCGCGCATGCTCAAGCAATAGGATTTGATTAGTCTCAGTTTTGGCAAAGAATTAAATGAATGAATGAAAGAAGAAAAAAAAAAGAAACACAAAGAAAAAACAAAAATATTTGATATTTTTTTTCTTTTTTTTCCTAATCGATCATTGTGGTGTACGTGGAGGATATTTAGATGATTTCGTATCATTATGTCTTTCTTTAGATGTCCGTCGACTTGGATTTGAAGTTCGTTCATTATTGCTATTTAATCGATGTGTTCGTGGTATTGAATGATAACCATTTGATATTGGTCGATAATTTTTTTGTGTATCTGTCACATCACCATTTTGTGCAAATTGATGAGAGAAACCAGGTGTAGATGATGCGATAGTTTTTGAATTTGCTTCCATAGCATTTATATTATTGGATTCATTGAATGTTAATGCAGGTAAATGTGATGAGATGAATAGACCAGTTTTTTTCATTGCCGGTGTCAAATAATAATGAACAGGTGGATATTTATAACCAAGATTAACCCACCAATGAGCGGCAACATCATCAACAGTGAAACGTTTTGATGGTAATACCGTTAAACATTTACGTATAAGACCGAGTGCGCCTATAGATTTGTTTTTCGATTGTTTTAAAAAAATTATGATAGAAAAATAGGAGAAAATATACTGTCTAATATAGATCATTTCTTCGAGATCTGATCCGATTGAGACAATTATTAGGGAAAAATAATCTTAGATCTTCTTTCTTTTGTTTCTCAAATTTTTTTCTAAGAGATCTAGTTACCTGATTGTTCACGAGGTTGTATAAATTCGCCTGACGTTATATTGCGTACAAGTCGATTATAATCACCGCCTTGAAATGGCATAGAACCAAAAACAAGTGTATAGAGTAAAACTCCCAATGACCAGCAATCAACCTATATATGTATTTGATTTTCCTTTATAATAAATCGAATTTCAAAATAAAAAGAGATATTTCATACTTCAGGACCATAATATGGTATACCGGAAACGATTTCTGGTGAAGCATATAATGGAGATCCACAGAACGTATGCCTATTTTAAAAAAAACTCGAAGATTATATACATCACTAAAAATAAATATCTAATCACATACAATAGACGACGTGGGGACCAATTATTGCTCAAACCAAAATCAGCTAACTAGAAATATCAAATAATTTTGTATATACACTAATTTTCAAAAATTTATATTTACTTTAATATCACCATTATGATCTATAAGAATATTTTCTAACTTAAGATCTCTATGAACAATTTGATTCTATAATTTTTTAGAGAAAAGAAATTAATTATAGAAAAAAATAAAATAAACAATTGTTTATATATACTTTATGAAGAAAATGAACAGCTGAAACAATCTGTCGAAAAATAGCTCGTGCTTGAGATTCTGGTATACGTTTCATACGATTGAGATAATCATATAATTCTCCACCGCTTGCATATTCCATCACAAGTATAATTTTTTCTCGACTTTCATAAACTAAGAGAAGAAAAAATCATATCATTGAAATTTGAATATTAATTCAATTAAACAAACAAACAACCTTTACCTTCTTTTATTCGAATAATATATGGATGATTAAGACTTGTCATAAAATCAATTTCACGACGTATTCTTGCCAAATCATGGGGATTTTCAATACGTGATTTTTTTATTGTTTTTATTGCAACTTGTTCATTCTTACGTTTATCTAATGCTAATTTTACTTTTCCATAGGTACCTTTACCTAATGTTTGTTTAAAATCAAAACGACTATGTAATGTTTCACGTTGTTGTCCACTACCATTTGTATTACTTCCACTACTACCACCTGTATGTTCTTGAGACGATGGTGGTGTTGTTGTTGATTCACCAAAACTATTAAGACTTCCTAAACTAGACCAATTAGCTTGACGCATACGTTGACGTACACTTCCGGGTGGACCACCATTTGCCAACCTTGAAAATAACATAAATGAAATGAATATGAGGAAATAAAAAGTATAGTAAATGTTGGTTGTTGAACTGTCTCATTTTTCTTTTTTTTCTATGATTAATGAAACCTTCAATTATATAAGCAAATGACAAGCCTACTTCAAATTAAGCGTATGATGAAATTAGATTTTTAATATATATATGTATACAATAGGAAAAAAATAATTATATTCTCATAAAACAAAATAACTGAACAATATTGATTTTATTTGATTATTAATAACACGTTTTTTACCTGTTAGTATTTAATGTTTGGGAATAATAATCAGAAAAACCAATTGAATCAATATCAGAACTTTGTACAGCAATCATTGTCTAATCTTCTTTTCTTATATAATATAACTCAATATACTCGAAAAATGTAAGATGAACTATAGCGATGTATTATGATGTATATGTTCTTTTGTATAAAAGAAGAAGAAGAAGAAGAAAGATAGTCAGATAGAAGAGATGGGGGAGAGTTATTTAATATGAACGTGTTGTAGACACAATTTTTGCTTCTATCGCCATCATCGTTGTCTATGTAATCAGTGCAAAGTATCTTTGAAGCAATAGTAGGCACAAGTATGCGAGAGAATAACGATGAAAAAGAAGAGAAGAAGAAGAAGAAGAAGAAGAAATGAACTGGCCAGATGATGATTTTATATTTCAACAACAGAAAATAGTATTTCTTCGTCTTCTTTCGTTCTTTCTTTCGTTCTTTCTTTCATTCGATATTTTTCTTTTCGAATTTCTTTTCACGTATGTATACTCGCCTTAGCAAATATGAATGCAAACGAACATATGAAATGATACTTGACGAGGCAGCACGTCGACGACAACGTCTTTTCTTTTTTCTTTTTTTCTTCTTACTTCGAAATGAAACCGCAAGTAAAATGTGAAGGAGAAAGACAATCAAAATAAAGAATTTCTATTCCTACTATAAATATATATATATATATATATATATTCATGCATACACCCTCAAATGACCTCTCAAGTGTAACCATTGTGAATGTCATCTTTGTTCTTTATATTGTAAATTTTAATTATGTTTTTTATCTATACTAATCTATCAGACAAATGAAATAAATTTCGTTCCTAATTCTCAATAATATATTGATATATATATATAAAAACGAGAAAAAACAGTAGACTAAAAATTGTCTAAAATCATTTTACATTTTAATTACGCACTTTATTACACGCTCATCAAAGATAAGAAAAATGTATAGTTGAAAGTATATATAAAAAACCATGCAAGTTTGCGCGATATCTTACTCGACTAGTAAATCATCATACGAACGTGAACGATGTTGTTCATCATATCGTTGTTTATGACCTTTTCTTGATGCTTGATATGAAATTTGTCCGAATGCCATAATGTTAGATATTCGACGAATTCGAATAAAATATTAATATTTTAACGACTCGATTGCATTGAATAAGCAAAAAAAGTCGATGGCAAATACCTATTTAGTCCGTTATTTACTTACAAATAAATAAAAAAAAAGAAAAAACCTTCGAAGTTTTACTATGCCAAAGTAAAACGTGACTATATGTAAGAAACAGCAGGTGATAAATAAAATCGAGTGCGAACAAACGAGCAAACCAGACGTTATATTTTTTTTTTCAATTGTATCTTATACTTCGGAGAAAAAGAAGGTAGAATAAAAGTATATGAGAAAAAAAATGAGACATGACTCTGCGTTTAATACATTGATGTACACACATAGATACTTTCATGATTGACTGAAAAGAAAAAAAGAAACGGAGAAGGAAAAAAACGACAAGTGACAAAGTAGATTGATTACTATAGGTGAAGTAATATTTATTTGCGAATTTTATTAGAATGGATACATTCATACAGTTAGATATTAAAATTTATATCATACCTTATTGATCTCATTGATAAAATAGTTTTTGTTTTAAATAAAAAAGAAAAAACACAACGAGACAATTGATTGTTGTATTGAAATGTCGTAAAGCGACTGATATGTTGTATTTAGTTTACTACCGGCAATGACCTTATCAACAATACGGCAAAGACAAGAAATAGACAGAAAAGAAAAGAAAAACTGGTGTAAAAAAAAACGAGAAAAGAAGAAATAAGATGATACACAACGGTAATTAATCGCAGAAAATACAACGAGAACATCGTGAGATGAAGGACAAGAGTTAGAGATAAAAATTTATCTCACTTAAATAAAAACTCTTTTTTTTCTTATGAAATTATTTTATCATTCATTTCAACAAAAATTTCGTTTGAACAATATTATCTTATTTTTTTATCTATCCATTTATTTGATATATGAGTATACATATATATATTAATAATAGAATTAATGAGTTGCTGTCATAGATATTAATGTTTATTTCTACGGGACAAAAAAAACACATTTGTTTTTTTTTCGTTAAATTATGACTAATTAAAGTGTTATGATTAGAATAATGTAGCAAAAAAAGAAATACAGAATAGCTAATTACTTTTTTTGTTTTGTATTCTTTTAAATGTTAGGATAAGAAAATTTTTTACTTACGGTAGAAGATTACTTAATAATGATCGTCGTGGATGAACTGTTGCGTGGGTTGGTCCTCGTGGTCGTGGAAATTGACTATGTAAAATGTCTGAAAATGGTTCACTTTGATAGGGATTACGTCGAGAAGGTATGGAATTACTTGCTCTACCAGGATTGTGAGTTTTAGCAAATGTTCGTGGCCATCGTGTATAAGATGATGATGAATAGCCTGTAGCTGTATCATATTGTGAATCAGTCGTTGATGGTGGTACGCGTGGAGGTCGGGGCGATGGAGACAGCATTGTTCATAAGTCTATATCGTCTCCGTCTATGTTCTGACTGCGGTTAGAATGAGAAAAAAAAGGAATGATCAAGCACTAGTTTGGTGAACTTTCTCTCTTTCGAGCACAATTTTTTTTT